CCCTTCTCTAAGAAGACCACCTCCTCTTCTGCCCACATTCAACATGAGCTTCCAGTGGGGGCTGCCAACTACCCTTCAACTCTGGCCATGAGCTTTGGGACAGGATCAGATTTAGGAAATGATAGAATCTTTGCTGGGATTTTCTGAGTCAAAAATAAGGGAAGAGGACACCTCTGGGTGGGGAGGCTGTGAGGTGGGAATCCAGGAACTGCCTTCTGCTGCTGTAGTGAGAAGTGGGTCTGCAGTAGGAGAAGCTTAAGTGCAGAAAGAGCTACAGGAGACAGAGAGCACATCCTGGAGAAGATTTGATCCTGGATCCAGTTGTGCCTGAGGCCAGCTGCACCCCTGCCCACCACAGTTTAGTGCCATGAGCTAATAAATCCCACTTTTGCCCCAGCTGGTTCCCGTTGGGTTGCTGTCCCCTGCCACCACCCAAGAGTCCTGAGTAATACCAGGAATATCGGTCAGTCTTTGCCTTGGGCGGGGTGGGACACAGACACCAGTGTCCTTTGCGTCTCCCCATCCCTCGTCCCTGGGACCAGGAACATGAAGTATCAGGGAGGGTGTTCCCAACCCACTAGTTCACGGCCAATCAGACCCCAGACCCAGTTTAGGCTCAGTCTGAATTAATCCGTATTATTATTATTTAAACAACATCAGACTCAAATGCCAGCTTGCATTGTAGTATGTTAAAATTCTTCCCCACTGGACTGTGAGCTTCAGCAGGTAGAGACTGGACACTTCTTAGTTGTGTGACCTTGGGCAAGTTTTCTCATTTCCAAAACTAGGATGCTAACAGAATCTGCCTCAGAAGGCAGCTGGGAACGTGAAATGAGCTAATCCATATAAAGGGATTTGCTGTTAGTGTTTGTGTTGGTGAGTTCAGTCAAGGCTTTGCACAGGCTGGGCACCAAGTGGGCTCCCTGTAAATGTGCGTTGGGTGAATGATGACGCAGAAAGACCCAGCCCCTGGTGTGCATGCCTTGCGCATGAGGGATACACACAGGCACACATTCTCTTTCAATCTCCCTCTCTCTCTCTCTCTCTCTCTGACACACAAACACACACACACACACACACACGCACACACACGCACACATGCATAGAAACACCCAGATCTCAGTGCTCTGCCCCATGGTCCTCCTGGGAGCCCTGGGCATCCCCAGCCCCTGGCTTCTCTGGAGAGCAGCCTGTAGCTCTCAGAGGCTCTGGGCTGTCATCCCAGCAGCTCCACGCTGCTGGCAGCGCAGCTTGGAGCCTGGCTCAGCCTACACCACGTATCAAGGGCAGCAGGACCTGCGCTGTCCTAGGAGCTAGAGGAAGTGTGTGTGTGTGTGTGTGTGTGTGTGTGTGTGTGTGTGTGTGTGGTGGAGGTGGTGGAGAGTGCTGGTTAACCTGTGGGGGCCAGGGGCTTGCCAGGAGCTACTGGAGCTGCTGTTCTCAGGAAGCTTCCCCTCTTTGCTGCTCTTTGGGGTCCCCAGTCTTTTCCAGTACCCCACTTCCCCAAGCAGCAGCCCCAGTCCTGCCTGGGGGCTCTTGTGGGCTCTGGCTCAGCCTTTTCACAGGAGGGACAGGGGCTTGTCTGTGGATCTGGGTCGGACTCCTGGTTTTCCTGCCTGCCTGGCCCCTTACCGCTTTCCTATGACCCCCCCGAGTCAGGCATCCCACCCTCCAAGGACCCAACCTTTCTTTCTGTTGTGCTACGCACGGGAGTATTAGTCTCTCTGCGTGTTCTTGGCCGGCGTGTTGTATGCAGTGCCAATGCCCCGGGGGGCTGTGAGTGGAGTGAGGATGCTGCTTGGAGCTCATGTGTTGGGGACAGTGTTTTTTGCTGGGTGTGGCGCACAGGGTAGTATCAGGGCTGTGGCGTGTGTTACTGTTTTGTGTGGAATGTCTCCGTAGGGGATATAGAGTGCCACCGGGTTTTGTTTTGGGTCACCGCGTATTATGGTCACCGCATTAACCCTTTGTGTACCTGACCAAGGTCCCTGGGCCCTGAAAAGATGAGGTGTTGGTTGAGGGGGTGGGGTGACGGGGTGGGGGGCGGGGAGAGCACTTCTCTCCCGCGTGCTCCCCGGATCTTCCATTCCGTTTCGCTGGATCCTGATCTCGATCCCGATCTCGATGTGCCTGAGCTTCTTGGCGCAGCTTAAGCTCAGAAAACCTGGCGGAGGGGAGGAGAACCCTGGTTCCGGGTCCAGCTGCGTTCAGAGCAGCCCACGACCTATACTCCTTTGGCGTGGGGATCCCGGGGACATGTAGGGGACTTCCTAATCCCGTTGGTCGGTCCCTTCCCGTGCCCAGCTCCGCGATCCCAACAAAAGCGGCCGACCACATGCCTCCTCCTCAACGCCGGCCAAGAGTGAGGACGCACGCCGTTATCGGGTTCCGCCCCCGCCAGGGCTGGGTTCCAACGCGGCTCTGCGCCCCAGGTGGGCGCGGAGCAGCCCCCAGCAGCCCTGCAGCCCCGGGTTATGCCTCGCCCACTCCCAGCTGCAACCGCTGCAGCGCCCTCGAAGCGACGCTAGGGGGAGCTCTGGCAACTGGCTTGGTGGATTGAATCAAAACCGTGCATCAAACAGCTATTTCCTTGGACGTGCAGGGGAAAAATGAGGAGGGGGGAGACGCACTGTTACCCCTCCCCAGCAGCTCCAGACTCTTCCCGTGGGAGGCCGAGAAAGCAGCCCTGGGGGGGTGAAGATGCCTTTCTTCTCCGTAACTCACGCCTCCAGAGCCTCTCTCTTCCCCAGCCCCCATCGCGGACCTTCGCAGCCCCCCGTGCTCTTGAGTGTCCCCGAGAACTTCGGCTCGCGCGACACCGGGGCCCAGGAGCCGCGCGGGCTCCTGAGACTGGATTGCTTCCGCCTCTGGGAGTCTAGTGTGGGAGCCTCTTGGCCGCAGCCCTCCTCTCGCTGTAGGAGGCGGGAAGGCTGGGTTTGGGGGAGTGAGCGGTCTTGCGGGGTAGACAGGAGGCTCTCACAAGAATGGGGAGCGCGGGGGTGAGAGCGAACGAGTCTCGGGGAGACAGCCAGAGATAGAGAGACCAAGAGAGACACTATCAAACAGAGCAAGATGCTGCTTTGCTTTTTTTTGGAGGGGGGTGTCTTTTTTTCCTATCCCCTCTTTGCAGAGCTGGAACCACCCTGCGCGCCCCGGGGCCCGAGCCGCGGCTCCAGATGTGAGTTTGGTTCCAGTGGGGAGAACGCGAGCTTCCTCGGGGCCTTGGCACATTCTCCCACTCTGAGGTCATTCAGTAGGTGGTCAGAGCGGAGAGCGCGCCTGAAGCCTTCCTACCTCCATCCACTGGGGAGGAAAGAGAGGCGGGAGGGAAGGAGAGGAGAGGGAGAGGGGAGGGGCGCGAGGAGGGAGGGAGACGCCGCCAGCACACCACCAAGTGGCACCGAGCAGTGATAACAAACTCAACTTAAAAAAAAAAAAAAGGAAAAGGAAAAACTTCCCCAAGTTGCAGCTCGAGACGTGCGGACCTGCGGGCGGAGGCGCTGGGTGGGGAGTGTGGGTGGCCTAGCAGCCCCCCGGCCTTCTCCCGCTGTTCTCCCCGGTCGCAGAGAGCTCAGATTCGAGGCCGACCAGGCCCTGCGCCTTGGCTGGGCAGGAAATCTGCTGGAGGCTGGCTCGGCTTCCTGCAGCAGACCCCGGAGGCGGCCCTTTCCAGTGGGGGGCAGGTCACGCAGAGGAGAGGGAGCTTCGGATGCGCGCGGCACCGAATTCAGCATTTCCCACCCCTGGCTCCCCTCTCCGGCCCTGCGGATGTAGGCAGATCCCACCCGCCCAAGCCCAGAAGAGCTGGGGTTTGCATGGGGGTGTTTATGGCTCTTCCCACACTATCTGTCCTCCTCACACCCCCAGGCCACTCTGAAAACAAGGCACCACCATCCTCTATAATTGACTTTTTATTAAGATTATAAATTTAAACAATCTGAACAGTTTTATCCGGTGATATACAATTCAGTATGCACAAAAATACATGGGAATGAAGGAGAAGGGCCAAGAAAGAATGGGTTGGTAACTTGTTTTGGAGTCCACATGGTGCTGATGGCAGAAGGCCAGAGGGGCTGTAGGCGAACCCCACCTTTTAACAACAAAAAGGCTTTTAAATTAAACAAAATCTATCGAGCTGAAGACACAGGACAGGTTTCTCACAGGCTCGAACAATGCTGGTTTCATGAAATGCAACCGAAGGCTGAACCAGGACAGGGCAACTTAGAAGCACACACACAACCACCACATCTGACCAGGAAGTTAGTGAAAAGTCTCCAGCACAGTCGGCGGTCCCGACCCCTCCCTCCCTCGGGGCCGATGGGATCCAGGTGAAGGAATCGACTTCCTTTTTTGTTTAGTGAGGACCGCAGTGCTGGGCATGATGGGAAATGTAGTCCGGCGTGCCCGCCCCCAACCCCTTCCCCAGTGTCCGTGAGTGTCGGGGTGTCGGACTCCACCCCCGAGTCCGGGAGACCGGTAGGGGAGGGAAAGAACGGAGCCAGAGGGGCGGAGAGAGGAGGGATTCAAGACACCCGCCCCGGGAAGAAAAGAAAAAAAAGTTGAAGTGTTTTCATTTCTGCCTTCTCATTTTGAGAACTTTGGAGGCCGCCTCCAGAGAGGAAATGTGACCCAAACGTCCCTTTCGGAGATAGAGTTTGCCTTTGTTTTTACTCAGGATTTCACAAGACTCATCTCTCACCCCACGGAGGGACTCGGGAGAACGGAGCGCCCGGCTTCCTGGGTCTGACAACTGATTAGAATCGGCGTTCCGGGCCCCGCGCCCTCCTGCGCTTCGCCCCCGCGGCGCCCCGGTGGCCTGGGCGTCCTGCCTCGCCCCCAGTTGCCCGGCACCTCCTCTGGGCAGCAGCCCTCCCTCACGTGGCTGGCTCCTCGCTAAACCCCACTGCAATCACTACAATAAAAAGAAAAAAAGAGTAGGAGAAACACAAAGCATACTTAAATAGGCGCTATTTCTCTCTGCAAAAATAAAGTCCAAGATCTTAGATTTCTTTTTCTTTTTATTTTACAATTTATAAAACATCAGCCGCCACCCACTGCTCGCCCCCAGGTCAGCCCCGAGTGGCCGGGCGCCCGCTCACTCCCTTCTCTCGTCCCTAGCCCAAGTCTTTGTTTGGCCCCAGCCCCGCGGGGACCCGGGGACCCGCGCCTTCGGGGGTCCCTAGAAGGCGACAATGGCTCGAGTCCAGGCGCCGAGGCTGGCGAGCGCCTGCTTGGCGCACAGCTGCCCGTTGAGCGGCGGCGGCTGCTCCGAGGAGTCCGGCTGTCGGCTCACCAGCCCCGAGAAGCCCGAGCCAAAGATGGAGATCAAGTTTGAGATGTTGGACGCGTCCGGGGACGCGTCCGGGCAGAAGTCCTCGAAGCGGGCGCGCTTGCAGGGGGCGAACGGGGCGCCCCCGGGGGGCTCGGCCCCCAGCTCGCCCGCGTCCTCCTCGTCGTCGTCGTCCTCCTCCTGGCCCGGGTAATACTTGCGCTTGCAGCCGGCGGCGGGCGCCAGGCCCGGTCCCGGGGCGCCCTGGCCACAGCAGGGGCAGTGGGCGGAGGCGCAGCAGTCTTGGTGCAAGTAGCCGTTCTCCACCGTGGTCACCACGTGAGTGTCCAGGTCTAGCACGGTGGTCTGGCTGCTGCAGTGCACGCCGAAGTCCGAGGGGGCCGGGTACGCGCCCCGGTAGAAGCCGGGGGAGGAGGAAGGGGTCGGGGAGGAAGGCGGGGAAGCGGCGGCCGGAGGGGCCGCCCCTGGGGGCGCGGAGGGC